AGTGATTTCTGAAAAATAAGTATTTTACCTGCTTGTCTTTTGGTATAATCTTGTATTTCCTCTTGACCTGATTCTGTCCCCCTTTAACCAAGGGGAAGCCCAGTTTTTAATTCCCCGTGGATAATCAATGGGACCGCTTGTGAAGCAAATCACTATACAGTATGAGGAAAGATATGAAAATGTGCCCCAAAGTAAGATGCTAATCTCAACCTTAGTAAGAGGATGGGGCAAAACTGGATCCTCTATAAAGCTATGTACTTTCAATTAAGCTGGTGCACATTATATTTTTCATTGGTAGTTTAGGTCTGCACAGAAATGACAATAACAGTGTCATTGTCGAAAAATTTGTCCTACCAATTTTCTTTATATCTGTTTATGAAGTCTGTGAAATCACTATGAGCCAGATTATGCATTACCCTTGGGAGGTGGGAGGAGAGATGTTAAGTATCACTGCTGCTTTTTAACAGGCACAGAGTAGTCAAGCATCATGTCCAAGGCCCTACAATAAGTCCGTGAGAGAGCTGTGATCAGATATCAGGAGATTGTGACTTCCACTAGACTACACTGTCCCTCATGTAGCCCCTTTTCTAAATAAAAATGCATAAATAAATCCCACTGTGGCAGCCCTCTGAGGTGTATAAAAAGGCAGTGTACTTATGCAACAGAGGAAAGAAGCAGAAGGAATAAAAGAGATTGAAAATAATGAGGAAGAAATTAAACTTAAGTATTTATGAAAAACAATTAGAGAGTCTCCTTTGAAGAGAACATCATAGACCAAGTTCTACTGTCAGTTATACCCTGGATTTACATCAGGGTAATATGTCAGGGAGCCACAGATAGCTGTGGTATCCTGGGAATGTCAGACACATCCAGTATAACATGTAACAGAAACAATTCCATGGATACACAATAAATCAATTCTTACATGGACTGAAACTTCCTTTAAATTTACAGGAAGGGAATACGTAGTTCAGCGTATTGGTAAAGGGAGATGTCTCTTCACCTTTGGTCAGTGGGTCAGACTGGTATGGAATGACAGTTGTTCCCATCTGACAGTTGTTGAGTGGTCATTATTAAATGAGTCTCAGTCTTGTGTCCACTCTTGTTGGCAGTCTCAGGAGAGAGGCCAAGGATTCAGTGGGCTGAGCCTGCCCTCCTGTTTCACCCTTGAAGCTACTCCCACCAGGCCAGTGGAGGTAAAGTGATGAGGCAGCATTGGGAAGCTTGCGTTGGCAGTACCTGCACGGGGGATAAGCGGAAAACTTCAATCTCAGACGCTGCCCACTCAGTACCTTTTGCTAGCACTATTACAAATGGAATCCAGTTTTATCTAGAAGTGAAATATTCAACAACCTGCAAGCCACTTGCCAGCATGACAAGCCAACGCTTTACAGTAGGGGGCTTGTCATAAACTACAGACAGGTATGGCTGTTCCCAGTGCCATACCGAGAGAATGCAGCAGTGAGGGACATAAAGAGCCAAACAAGCAGAAAACTCACCCTTGAAGGCCATAGTTTAAAGTATAATTCACATACTCTCTCTTTATGTGTGATAGATTGTCTTTGTTATTAAGCACTGCCCGTGTGCTCAGCACTATACAAACACAAAGAAAGGCACAGGGCCTGAATCTGAACTCACATGGTGTAAATCAGGAGTAATTCCACTGTAGTCAATAGAGTTAAACTGGTGTGAGCTAAAAATCAGTCTTCATAATCCCATCCTCGAGGAGTTTATGGTCCTGACTCGATCCCGCTCCCATTGATGTCATAGGAATTTTGCTATGGACCTGGACAGACAATTAAGAACTAATGAGTGCATGACTCTCCTCTGATTTACACCAGTATAACTACATGGTTTTTGGTGGAGTCATGCCTGTGTTACACTATTGTAAATCAGGCCCATGATACACTGGAAGACCTCATGATCATCAGTCTCAAAGCAGTTCCAGTGGTCCTGCTAAAGAAAAATGTTAGACTTCTGTACTGCTCATCCTCTAATTGTATCTGCCGAGAGTTTTCAGAAGCAGCAAACCTGTAATTGTAGGACATACAACACTTCATACAGTGCTGTCACTTTCAGTGTTCGATGGACCCACCTCTGTTGCAACGGACCCAGTAGGACTAAGTATCACAGAATCTGTCAAATTCTGCTTTGCAATCATCTACAAAATGAGAGATGGCTTCTCCTGAGTGGGCCAGTCAGTAGCATTAGAAAGATTTGTCTTAAAAAAAGAGCATCAGTTTGGCTATAATTTCATATGACTATCTCAGAGTGAGGCAGACAAAATGCAAAAGGCCTGGCTCACCATTGCATCATGCCGGTTTTACACCAGTATTACGCCATCAAAATGACTTGAGGAGGAGAGGCAGTCTCTCAGATCACCTGATCCCAAAACATTTAAACTGCATAGATTAAAACCATCCCCTAGAATTCCCGGAAATGTATTGGCAGTCCATGCAGATCGTATACTCCAATGCTATGGTAATACGCACCATATAAATACCTAAGATAGATCAATTCCATAGCCCCAGTATAATGTGCGCCCAGGGGACAACGATATTCTGAACTAGCTTTAGTGTTTGATTGGTCTCGGTGATGTGGCTCCATGCAGAGTGTATTACAGCTAGGCGGGGTTAAGGTGAGAGAGGGTAAGTGTGGAAAGCTCCACTCAGGAATTAACAGGTGACCCTCTCCTTGCCAAGCACAAATTAAAAAGTGTTCTTGGCCACCACCACTTCTTGGGCATCCAGGAGCAGCCCAGAATCTAGCAATGCTCTTAAGTTGTTCATCTGGGTCACAAATGGTGATCACACTCTCTCAGTCATGGTCTTGATTAAAGTGCCACCAGCACTTCTGGATGCTTCCACCAACATTATCTCCAGTTTATCTGGACTGAGTCACAATCATTCAGATCCCGTACTCATTTAGGCACTAGGCTATTGGTTCCACTCTAACAGCTGGGTCAGGCATGATAGCAGCATATAGTTGGGTGTCTTTGGTGTCCCCTTCCAAGTTGCCTCATGAACACATTGAATAAGAGAGGTGATACAACAGACCTCATGGTACCTTGCATGAAACCCCCTCATGGCAGCTACCATCTGAGTCATCTTAGAACACTCCAGAACAACTCCACTGCTTTGCCAGGCCACAGACACTTTAACAAACCCTGCTGACTAGAGCTGGTTGGCATTTTTTCTAAATGTTAACAAAAATCAGAGTTTTTACACACATTTGTATTGTGTTTTGACTACTGCGAACAGATTTAAAAATCTTTTTATCTCTGTGGTTAGGACACAATCAGCTACAGCAGCCAGTACCATGCTCAGGCCTACAACTTGGCTGACCAGGGTTAAGGAAATCTGAGGACTCAAGGGGCAGCCAGAGTTGCCTCACCACAACTTTCTCACTGATCCTTCCTTACAAAAGGAAAAATTCCTAAAATTAACACACAGAGTGGAAACAGTCCCTCAGACTATGGAACAGGAAATCTCCTATATTTATGTGCCTCATCCTCCCACTCCTCCCAACCCTCTTGATCTGTTTTGTCCTTCTATTGTGGCCTGTCTGGCCATCTAGACTGCAAACTCTCTGGGGCAGGGATGGTATTCTTTGTGATTTATCTGCTCAGTGCCTAGCACTATGGGGCCCTAACCCTGGCTTGGGGTTCCTAGACCCTGCCGTAATACAAATAAATAATACTAGTCCTAATATTTTTAGTTCAGCGGCCAAAAAAAAAAAAAGTACTTCCTTGCTCATTCCCCTTTCACTCAGTAGGAACCATCTCTGCCAACAATAGTCCTGTACTGTCATCCAAAGTCCTGGGCTTCATCTTCCATCAGCTCATGGATGGTGCTAAGTTCATCAGCCATCAATCTTGCATTTAATAACATGTGGCAAAGGCTCAGATCCCTGTTCCCCATCAGTGATAAAACCAAAGGAACCAGAGTTAACCATCGCCATCTTGGCTTCCAGCTTGGTGCACACTTCTGTTTTCCTACCTTCTTTCGCCTGTCTGCTCACCACCACAGGAAATGAGGTGGGGCCATGCCCTGGCAACCATCGCTCTCGCACATCCCCCAAATGCAGCAGCATTGGCCACTGATTTGCATTAAACACTTTTAAAATTTTTGCATACAAATGCAAAAAGATTTTAGCCCACCAAGAACTTTCAAGCAGCCTTTGAAACAATATGCAGTGTATTTTGCCAGTTGACTTTAAGGCTAAGAAGGGACCGTTGTGAGCATTAAGTCTGACCTCCGGCACGTTGCAGGCCACAGACCCTCACCTGCCCACTCCTGTAATAGACCCAGTACAATGTTACTGAAGGATAAAATGGGACATAAGAACACATGCGGAATCCTGACTTACATTTTGAAAATAAAAAGGATCAAGTTGTGAAGGAAGTGTCATCTTGCCGTAGGCCCAGTTCTGCACTCAGCTACATGGTTGAAAGTCCCGTTGTCTTTAATGGAGAGAAACCTGTGTAAAGGTGGGCAGAATTTGGTCGATAACATTTAGGACTGTCAAGCAAGCTTGAAAGCCCAAGTGAGTGAGGTTCTGTTAGTGAATGAGACAAGCTTTCGAACTACACAGAGCTCTTCTTCAGACTGATGCAGAGACCCATCAATAGAGCTTTCAGTCTGTCTGATTTGTCAGTTATGTTGCAGCTCTTGATATTTTCACTGACAATTCAAACTGGGCTCTACGTTGTATTCTGTAGCACTGCACTATGCCAGTATTCTCTGACGTATTGGATGGCTAAATTGCCTGATACTGAGTTAATACATAACCACCTACAAAATGACAAGGCTTTAACTATAGGAGCTTGACCATTGAGCCCATAGACCCTGCTAGCTATTCATTCCAAACAGCACAGCAAAAATCTTTTGTTTTGATATCGAGAGACCTTAGTAACCACATTTTGATCAATACGACAGTTTGCAGTTAAATGGTTTTTGCTTGTGTCTGTGGCACTAATTTCAGTCTTTGTCCCACTCCAGTTAATAGGCTGCATTATTGGCAGACAAGGCAGTAAGATAAATGAAATCAGGCAGATGTCAGGAGCGCAGATCAAGATTGCTAATGCCACAGAAGGCTCGGCAGAACGACAAGTTACAATCACAGGCTCCCCGGCAAACATCAGTTTAGCACAGTACCTCATTAACGCAAGGTAAGTTAGCTTTGTAAGTGATATGCTTCTGCAAGATTGCTCTGTCTGTTTTCCAACAAATGTCTGCCTAGGACAAAGCCAGAAAGTTGTTGTGTAGTGTCCATTTTGCATAGTCTTATTTGATTCCTACCTCTTTGTAAATCCTGTACTGTTAGAGCCTGTGTTTATTGGTGGTTTATATGGAAAGCGGCTTAATCTGGTGCAATTTCAGTTACACTGAATCATAAGAGCTCAAAACCTGAACATTTATATTTGTAGCCATCTAGCCTCTGAGCTGGATACAGAAAATGATACTGTCATAAATTTGTTGGAAGATAAAAGTTTTCATAGGACAAACTGATAGTGATGCAGACTCGTTCTGCTGTCTTAAATGGCAACTATAGATTGCAAAACAGATTTAATTTGCTAGCTGGAAATTGCTTTCTCAGGGTTGATATTAAACAGACATTTGGTTGCTAAAGAGACCCGGGATTTATTTTTTCCATAGATAGCCCCACAAATTTGTAAAAAGCCCATCCTCATGAGACAGGGTGAGAATCTCCTTTTCACCACTTTTCAGCTCCAATGTTAATGAAAACACTGGTTGTTTAGTTAGCCCTTTGAGACTGCTTATGCCTTTCGCTATTTGGATGATTATTTAGGAAAAGATTAAAGTGGGTATGCAAGTAGCACTTCATTTGCTATTACCCCTTTGAGAAAGTGCAATGAATGTAATGCTCTGTCATAAATCTGCTTGTGTGTGCTGTACCAAGGCACTAGAGAGGAAGATTCGTATCTATACATTATACCATTTTGAAAAAACACGGTGCCATCTCGCAAATCAAGCTACTTTCTTTAACATACTTGCTATTAAAGTAATATAAAGTGTGTAAAATAGTATAAGCTTGTGTATGTTGTGGATTGCAGTCCTAGCGATTCTAACCAGCCATTGTTGTGGATTGCAGACCTAGCAATTCTCTCCACCAATATAATTTGACCAACACTAGAAAAGCATGTAGATTCCATGAATGAAGGGAAAGGAGATTTGCAAAATATTTATGAAGCCTTCCATTTTGGCAAACAAAATATTACCTTTGCATTACTTGAAACTAGCTTGCCAGGGATAAATGTACGGTTCTGTGGGACCGCGAAGCTTCAACACTAGCCATTCCAAGGATCCAAAAAACCCATACAGCTTGTGCGCTTTGCATTCTTTATAGCAAATATAAGTCACGTCCTTAAGCCCTGTAATCAAGTAAAAATGTGTTCCCTCCTTTAACCCTTAAGGATATGTTCTTCTCTTGGTGTTCAGGGATTCCCCACACATCGAGATGAGAATAGACCCCTTCACTTTTAGTTGCACAAACACCATATGGCATGCACCTGGATTGCAGAAGATAACAATTTAAGATCTTCAAGACAGCTAAAGCATGCAAATAAAGTAATGCAAGTTATTAATGGAGTTGCAGTGAGCTGCTCACCAGAGACAGAAACTCTAGTGAACAAACCTCTCTTTGACTCACTTAGAAAAGCCTGTGAACTCTCACAGCTCTGATTATTGCTGTCTAATGGTTCTTTTCATGGAATGGGACATTTAAGAGGTCTTTTAACACACTTTTGCAATGAAGAAAACTGCTGAGCAATCATATTCCATGGATACTATATACCCTGTGAAACTCGAAACAAAGTAGTACTTTATTCTTGTTGAATTTCTAGGTAGAAAGCATTTGTTATCATCAGATACAATAAACGATTATATATTCTGTACCATATGTTGAAAATGTATTTAGGTAAAATGACTTCATTTGTGAAGGAAGAGTCTTAAAACAATGTATAATAAATTAAGCTCTCAAGTATCCTAGTTAATTAAGGTGGCCTGTTCATTTTAAAAAGCTATGTTATGTGACCAATTTTTTGCTAAAAGATATAATGAGGAGAGAGGAATTCTGTTAACTTAGGTGCCAACACAGCAACAGAACTAGTTGGCAGACAAGGATTGAATAGGCCGTGGAAATTGAATAACTTCAGTCCAACAAGCGGTGTCCCCAACCTGTGGCTTACGCAGCTTGGCAAGGCTACGGGAGGGAAATATAGAGTGCCATAGCCCATGCGGGACCTTTTCTGGGGATAAATGGGGCCAGCTTTAAGGGTTGTAAATCCAAAACTTTATATAAGTCCTATGTGCGCGTTCTTTTTTAAAATTTTTATTTATTTATAATTTTTTATTAAACATAAAAAGCAGATGTGAAATAAATTGTTACTAGAGAGAGTTCAGTACAATATCAAAGTACTAAACTCACCAAGATACCCACTGGTATGCCAAAATAGTTAATGTCCACCGAGACCAGAGGCCACCAAGTTTTCCCATCATTCCTGGATCTACCTTTTCTTTCTGTTCAGGGAGTTACTTCTGATACTGACATCACACTGCAGACCAATCAGCTCTGACTCGTGTTGTAATGTCATTCCCATTGGTTTGGTTTCCAGGGGCATTACTTCTAGGAATTACAATACATAATTCCAGGTTTGGCAGTAGCATGAGTTTTAAAAGAATACCAGTTATTTGAAGTACCTAAACTATTTCTAGCCAGTTTTGTCTTCTTTAAAATCATTTATCAGACAATTTTAAATAAAGATTCTTTTGTTGCAGTATCTTGTTGAATATGTGCATGAGAATATATAAACTAGGTTAAATTTAAGGCAGCATGGTCTATAGAGACAGAGATTTAACCTTATTTTTGTTTCTGTATGGATATAGCCAACTGTTGATATTTGTACCCCTGAAATATGCCCCATCTTAGTTATGTGCATTAGGAATGCTTTATTTCCTGTATATCTCTTGTCTCTTAACTGGTCTCCAGCCTGAACCATGTAACCACAGGACTTGGGAAATAAGGTTCCACTGTAATAATTGGATCCTTGTTATCAAATTATTATCTTAAAATTCTTACTAAAAATGAAGTGAACCACAATTTAAGTTTAAACTGTATGATATATGACTTCTTCTTTGGGTTATAAATGGATTTTAGCCAACGGTGCTTTCTTATTCTTGTTAAGGAGTAGCTTTTTGAAGATATTTTTACTTCCATTTTGATAACCATTGATTAGTTCAAGGATAATTAATAAGGGCCCACCCCTATATTCCTTACCTACTCAAGAAATCCACTGATTCCACAGAACACAGGATGTGGCCTTCAATGTATTTATTCATAAAATGAAGCTCTTTTCTGAAAAGTAACTTTGTAAAACTGGCATCATGGAGTTCCAGGTGTGTCACGCATCATTGGCTTCCAAATTAAATGTGGTCTGTTTACATGTAAACAGTTGATTTTGGTAACTGCAGACTCAACAAGGCCTCTGAAAGCCAAGTTGGATTCCTTGTATTTTATGCATCATCACCACCACCACTAGAAATAAAGATCTGGGAAGGCAGGCCAGATTAGACCCTTAGTTATGCCTGTGCAGTTCAGTACATCATTTGGAGACAATGAGGTTACACAGATGTCACTGAGGCCATGATTTTGGCCTGCAGAATATTTGCCACCTGTGATGATACACGAGAAGGTATTTGCAGCCCCCCGGCTGAACTTTCAGCATTAGCAGCTAGAAAAATCCCATCTCATTACTTGCCAACTGAGCCAGTTTGATGTGGATCACTGTGCGATGATAAACAATGAATCCTCACAATGTCATTTTTACAGACCCCTCTCAGAGTAAAACTGAGCTGTAAATATAAAATCCAGTTATATACAGATTATCTTACAAAACATGCTGCTCCTGCTCACCAACCTGAGAAGGCACCTTGTAGTTGGCTCCAAATTTCAGGGTCAGGTAACAGGCATTTTTAATGTAAATTATATAGTTTAATATTCCAGATGGCATTGTTTGCTGTATAAAGACGCTATTATTGTCTTTCTACATAGACCAGTTTTGACACCAGGTAAGAGAAAGCAGTGTTGTTCAGTGGGAATGGGTGAGACTTGTGGAGGCAGAGATTAAGAAAACCAAAGTTTTCTGTTTCATGAACCCCAAACCTTTACAAACATAGCTGAGACAGCTTCTGGCTCCCTGGCAAAAGTGCTGGTCAAAAGAGCCCACTTCCTTGTCAGGTAGGATTACCAAGTATGAAAAATCGGGACGGGGTGGGGGGTAATAGGCCCCTTTATAAGACAAAGCCCCAAATATTGGGACTGTCCCTATAAAATCAGGATATCTGGTCACCCTATTGTCGGGGGAAGTGAAGAACCTGATATCTCCCCCCCTCCCCATACATCCAAACAAGCCCCGAGCTCCCTCACACATACCTTTAGCGGCCGTTCTGGGGGTACCATCCTCAAACACCGTTACCTCTGTCAGCTGCAAGGGATGGTTTCATCTGCTGTCCAGGGGCAGCACTTAGATCAAAGGGAGGGGCTTCTGGTGGTTGCCCATCTCCATTCAACAACAGTGAGCAGGAGACATTCCTGCAAGTCACTTGAAGCTGCATGGAGCCCTGGGCTCAGGGAAGACCCTACTTGCATTCTTGTTAGGCCTGCCCAGAGGTGAAATTCATCCTCTTGACTGAGGCCTGGATATGATTTGTCCTTAATCCTATGCAATATGGGTGTGTCTGTCCTTTAGTGCTTAAATGAACAGGGCAGCAGGGCTAGAAGTGTTCCCCAGTCTGCTGCTGGCTGATGATAGATAGGCCTCTGCCACAGGCCCTTCTCCTGCCCTTTGTGGATTATGGGGCATTGGGAATCTCTGCCATTCCTGCTCCCACTCCCAAATAGAATATGTTGGAGAGGGAAAGTACTGCTCCCAGAAGTGGGCACAGGGAGGAAGCAGTGGAGGGTTGGCCAATAGATCGTC